GTGGGGAGGGAGGACAGTGAGGAGTGGGGAGGGAGGACAGTGAGGAGTGGGGAGGGAGGACAGTGAGGAGTGGGGAGGGAGGACAGTGAGGAGTGGGGGAGAAAAGACTGAATGAGAATTGAAGGGTGTGCATGTATGTTCTGTTAAAATCTCTAAAAGAGTGAAGCTGGTGCCACGTAGATTCCGTCAGCTGGACAAGGAGTCCTACAGGTCTCCAGGATTCCACCCACAGAATGCTGTGCGCCCAAAGTGCCTGCAGTTCGGCTCAGAGGAACAGCAAGTCTCGGGAGGGCGGTGGTGAGGCTGCTGGCACCGACACAGCGGAAGCTCCAAAGTCTTACGACAGCTCTGCCAGCGAAGCTGTCCCAACCTGGACTAAAACTCGAAAGAGGTGCCCAGCTTTTGGCAGCTGAGACACAGGCTGAGAAAGGCTCCCAAAGGCACGTTTTCACTCCTTTTCAGAAGTAGCCAAGGAAGGGGAAGGAAAGGAGGTGCCACGGAACAATCTAGAAACCAGGGAGCTGAGCCAAAGCTCATCACGAACCATTCCCTGTCTACAGAGTGGGGGACCGGCACACTGGTTGGAGGGACTTCAGAAATGTGTGGACCAGTGACTGCCAAGTGCCTCAGTCCTTAACCGTCCCATCAGCAAGTTTACCCCCGTTGTCCTGGCTCTGTACACCGGGAGAGCGGGACGGACTTGTCTTTTTACTGCAAGGGTCTCTAGGTCAAGAGGACACGTATCCACACCTGACGGAGATCGCGAGATCCTGGACTTGGGAGGGTGTGAATGCGTCTGCATGCCAGAAAGATGTGAATGATGGTGGGGTGGCCTCAATTCTTAATCCCTCCCTGCATCTCTCTGGCCTTTGCCATGTAACCTTGTGGTGACCTCCTCCTGTAGGTGAGCTTATGCCCAACCCTTTACACCAGCCCAATATATATCATTTTCTTTAGCCAGTGGGATACAAGTACAGGTTTGAAATGGGGTTACACACTGAAGCATGCGTGCTTGTATTATTGCCATGGTCACGAGAAGAACAAGCCTGGGGTAGTCCACTGGTCCCAGAAGGAGGAGGAGATGTATGGAGGGCAGAGCTTAAACCCCCGCCTACCTGCCCCAGCCAAGGCGACAGACAGCCAGGGAGCCCACAGCTAACAGATCCCCAGCCAAGGGCAGTGGACACCCAGCCTTCCCCACACACGTGACTGAGCCCAGCCAACATCAACAGAGTTGTCTAGCCACGCCCGTGCTGACCTGAAGTATATGAGCAATACACACTTAGTATGATATGCCACTGGGGTTTCACGCTGGTTGTTACACAGCAGCATTGATCAATAGCTGACGGATACACTTGCCAGGAGGAAAACACACACCATTTGTCAAGTTACCCACTCTGCTGAGCTTTTCCATCAAGCTGTCCCACGCTCAACTCATCAGCATATACTTTAAGACGGAGGGAAATGACTGAACAATCATTATGCAGAAATGTATTAAAAACGCACTGCTTGTATCTCTATTTCGTTTAGCATATCTCCTCAATTAAATACTAGTGAGTAAATTATAAAGTTACATAAAGCTATATAGAGAGAGGGAGTTATAAATTGAAGGTTTCCCCCTATTTTACTGAGAAAGGCACTTCTGGGCAGATGAAAAGCAAAACTGCATACAATGGGATCATCAAATACCTATGTGGTGCCTATGACGGAAGCAATAGCAAGCCAGGAGCGGCGCGGGACTTACCCGTGTGGGACCGGAGGTGGACGGTGAGCTGGCTGGAGTTGCGGCTGGCGTAGGGGCAGATCTGGCACTTGAAGGGCCGCTCGTCGGAGTGGATCCGCAGGTGCTTGTTGAGGCTGCTGCTGTCGGCGGCGGCGTAGTCGCACGTCTTGCACTTGTAGGGCTTCACGCCCGTGTGGCACCGCATGTGGGTCTTCAGCTTGTCCTTCCGGCTGAAGCACTTGCCACAGACCTCACACTTGTGGGGTTTGTCTCCTTCAAACACACAGAGGGTGTCAGGAAACAAGCGTAAAGAAGGTTTATCTCCCACTGCCTTGTGGAAAGAGTAATACGCGATCACCAAAGGCTGTTAGAAAACCCCCGGACGGGATAGGTGGTTGGCAAAGAGCTAACATCTTGCAGGGGGCGGGGTGCCTCTATTTTGAAGATGACTGTGCTATTACTGGTATTTTCTAATTTTTCCTATGTTGAATATGAACTTCTTATTTATTAAGAATAGAATGCAACCCGGCCAGTGTGGCTCAGTGGTTGAGCATGGACCCAGGAACCAGGAGGTCACCAGTTGATTCCCGGGATGCAGGCTCAGTCCCCAGTAGGGGGCATGCAAGAGGCAGCCAATCAATGATGTTCCTCTCTCACCTATGTTTCTATCTCTCTATCCTTCTCCCTTCCTCCTCTCTAAAAATCAATAAATACATATACTACTATAAAAAAAAATAGAATGCAACTTAAATTTTTAAATTTAAGCTCAGTAAAATATAGTGTCCATTGTCCCTTGTATCCATTCTCTCCATTGCCCTTGTCACAACAGACATGCCCTAAACCTCAGACCCCTTAGGTTTTAGGGGCTCGTGTCTGACCAGCTGCGGACCACATCTCTTGGCCACATGTGCAGCGAGGTGTGATTCTGCGACCACGTCCTCATCAGAAAATGGCAGAGAAGGAAAATGTGCCCCTTTTGGAAAAAGAAACTGTGTGCTTTATACTTTTCCTCTTTCCCCTCCTTCCTGTCAGCTGTAACCAAGACAAGGTGTGGGCAGGTTAGGCCAGCGCACCTGCAGACGGTGGGGATCGTAACATATGGCCAGAAGGAGCTTAAACCCCCGCCTACCTGCCTGGACCACCTGCTTTCCTCTGGCCAGGCATGTGACAGAGGCACAGAGCCCTACCTTGTCTGAGCTGGTGTCGGGTTTCTTTGCTATACCTGCTTAATCTGGACTCGCTAGATACCTGTCAACTTGTCACCCATACATTTTTTGACATAAACTGTTCCAATCTCTTTTGTATCTGTGTGTACCTGTACTTTTTTTGGTACAAAAAGACCTCTGGGCTGACATCAATTTAAACACTTCCTTTCTGAAAGGCACTGTGCCTCTGAGTGGTTTTACTGAATTCTTCAACAACTGGGATTAGAATCCAGGACTGTCTTGCTTTCTTAGCCAAACGCAACACTGCCTCCCCACCGACTACATCTTTTCACATCATTAATATCTACATAGTTTTGATTGATTTCAGAGAGGAAGGGAGAGACAGAAACATCAATGACGAGAGAATCAGTGATCGGCTGACTCCTGCATGCCCCCTACTGGGGGCTGAGCCCACAACCAGTGCATGTACCCCGGCCAGGAATCGAACCGTGACCTCCTGTTTCATAATAGGTTGACGCTCAACCACTTAGCCACGCCGGCCAGGGAATACCCACATGATTTTTAAGGCTGAAGCATTTCATCTGTAGATGTACCGTGCATTACTGAACCGATTCCTTACTTGGCCACTGCAGAGAGTAAAATATGCATGTGCATGCTGATGTGGGAAGATGTCCCGCAGTAAACGGAAAACAGCAAGTTGCAGTGAAGATGTATACAATATCACACTTGATCTTCGCCAAAAGGCTGAGAAGCTATCACATATACAATATTACCTTAGAAAGAGATGAAAAAAGGAAATTGTGTGTGTGTCGTAGGCTTGGTATAGGCATGCCAAAACCTAAGAATGAGACCCACTGGACCAGGGGTGGGCAAACTTTTTGACTCGAGGGCTACAATGGGTTCTTAAACTGGACCAGAGGGCCGGAACAAAAGCATGGATGGAGTGTTTGTGTGAACTAATATAAATTCAAAGTAAACATCATTACATAAAAGGGTACGGTCTTTTTTTTTAGTTTTATTCATTTCAAACGGGCTGGATCCGGCCCACGGGCCGTAGTTTGCCCACGGCTGCACTGGACGATTAAGACTGGTGACTTATGGGCACTGGGTAAGAAGGAGATGGGATGCGAGTTAGGATTTTCACTTTTACTTTATAGCAAATACGTAAATAACCAAGTGCTCATATCAATGTCGGCCCAAACTGATCACTACCATCATGGACATCTGGCATTCAAGAACACCCCTAAAAGTGTATTAAATGTGACAATTTTATTATTAAGATGTTAATAGTCAAATTTAAATATCTAGGAACAGTACTTTCTCATTATTGTCAGCTGTTAGGTGGCCCCTGGCGTCCCTGTCCCGTGTGGCTGCAGCACTGAGCAGCTGCTGGCTGGCTCTGCTGGTACAGAGCCCTGCTACGATTTTTTTTTTTTGTCAAATATAGTTTTATTTATGTCAGAAGTGAGGAAGAGAGAGAGAGAGAGAGAGAGAGAGAGAGAAACATCAATGATGTCAGAGAATCATTGATCGACTGCCTCCTGCACACCCCACACTGGGATTGAGCCCACAACCCAGATATGTGCCCTGACCAGGAATTAAACCGTGACCCTGGTTCATAGGTCAATGCTCTACCACTGAGCCATGCCAGTCGGGTGAGCCCTGCTATTCTCGCTCCCGGCCACGTCCTCTCCTCTGAAAGTAACTAAGGTAAGTTTGCCTTCTTGTCAACTCTCCAACTTGAAGATGTTGGTGGACATACTGCAGTTATATAGAAACTGCTGTACAAACGCAAGCCTGGCTAACTGCATGTAAAAGATGCTTTCTGAGGATCTGCAGACACAGACTGAAGATCGTGGCCCTTACTTACATATACATATACTTTTTAAAAGATTTTTTAAATTGATTTTTCTAGAGAGAGAGGATAGAGAGAGAAAGAGAGAAAAATTGATCAGCTGCCTCCTGCATGCCCCTGACCGGGAATCAAATCAGCTACCATTCAGTGCATGGGACAATGCTCAACCAACTGAGCCACACCAGCCAGGGCCTTACTTATATTTTTATAATGCTTCCCCAAGCCTCATTAATAATTAGTGCACTGCACTCGTGCAATGATGAATGTGACACTTGGCTGATGGAACTTCAGCACATGAAATCCGTGTGGAAAAATTCACTGCTTGTTACATTGAGAATGCTTACCAATACTTGAAACTTAATAACTGAACATGCTGATAATTAGAATAAATTCAGGTGACAGGTCACTGTGAGGTCGATAGGATCTGATGGTGGCCGCCAGTGCAATAAGGCAATCATTGGCCAGGGCCAAGGAGTATCAGAAACAACCGATCTTCCAAATGCTGAGGCTAAAATGTGGTCTTCAGGCAATTAGTGACACCTAAGCCAGATCTCAATGGGTCTCTACCTTATACACTTATTTTTAAATTTATACATGTCTGTAGCATCGAATTAGGGGTATCTCATACTTTGTTAAAAAACAATGTAAAATGCAATTCCTTTTCCTTGCAGAAAATTGGTGAGACATAAAAGTAACATATTAAAGAAATTTAAAATCACTAGAAATAATCACATTTTTCTTTTTCCACACACTGATTATTTTCTCTCCTTTTATAAAAAGTATTTATTTATGAAATCCCCCCTTCAAAATTGCGTAAATAACACACTCACTGCATCCAATGATACAATGTAAAGATACATCAAAGAAATGTTACTATTCTTCCCCATTATTCCTCTCTTCACCAATCATCTCTCTCTCACACAAACATCCACACAGAGACACATTTATACGATCATCTCCTCAAAAATAGGTGCATTTAAATTTTAATTCATTCTGGCAAATTAATTTTCCCAATGGCTGTAGCAGTTCACATTGCCACTAGTTAAGTTCGCTCAGGTCTGTTTCAGTCCTGGATTTACTGCTTTAGACATTTTCTGCCAAAATCACGTGTAGGAACAGCATCTTGCTTTTATTTATTTGTGTGTGTAAGGCACTGAGGTTCTATGTCATGTCCTCTGTCTGACTTGTCTGAATCCCTAGCTCTTAGCACAGAGGACGTGTTCAGGGCATTGGTGCCAAAGAAATGTAACTTACCTGTGTGGATTTTTAAATGCCGCTCCATGTCCTTCATGCCATAGGCAGTCTTGAACTGGCAACCTTAAAAAGGCAAGGAGAGATTAATTACAAGACATCATCACTTTAGAGCGGAGAAACTTCCTCAACCAAGTGATGAGAGTTAAATAACCCCCCAGAAACAAAACACACAGGTGTCCTGTGCCCCCAATGTGATGAGCCACGGTCATGACATCACTCTTGCGCGTCCTGCCCACATTGCAGAGCCTAAGTCTAATTGGGAGGAAACCTAAGACAAACCCAACGGAGGGACACTGTACCCAATAACTGGCCTGTACTTTGCACAAATGTCAAGGTCATGAAAGGAAACGACACCCGAAAACTAAATGCAATGTGTGAGATCCTGAACTGGATCCGGGACCAGGGCAAAAATGTTTTTCTTTTGACACAGAGACAATTGGTAAAATCTGAATAAGGTCAGTTATCTGACAACAGTGTGTATAAATGTGAATTTCCTGACTTCGATGATTGGACTGTGGTCATAGGATTTTCCTTGTTTCTAGGAAATACTTATTGAGGGACAAAGGGACAGCATGTCTGCAACTTACTCTAAAATGGTGTGAGGGGGAAAATATATAAATATACATGTATATAGGAAAAATGACAAATTACATGTAATATGTTAACATTTGGAAAATCTAGATAAAAGAATACAGAAAAAAATTTGAACAATTTATTATTTTTTTAAATATATTTTTATTGATTACAGAGAGGAAGGGGGAGAGAGAGAGAGAGAGAGAGAGAGAGAGAGAGAGAGAGAGAGAAACATCAATGA